CCACCCCCACACCCACACCCACACCCCCACCCACCCCCACACCCACACCCACACCCACACCCACACCCACACCCACACCCACACCCACACCCACACCCATATAATCACTGATATAATAGACAAGGGCTTTTGTATCAACACCGGACCAGATAAATTTGATATCCATATTACATCTTAATAGATATTACAACATCAACTACTTCGAGACTAGCTGCATTTCGTTTAAGAGACGAACCTACAAGCAAGTAAAAGCCATTCATTAAAATTGTTCATCATTGGATGAGCACGTCTCATTAGAATTTCTCCAGTTTCTGTATTAATTGTTGTTGTATCATGTAATTCTTTTGGATATCGTAAATGGCAAGGCATCTTATCTATATTTGATCCTTTATGATATTTATAACAGGTACTTGTATGATGATGAATTTGATTTTGTGACGCCAAAATACAAATAGCTGCTCGTTTTTCTCTATCAAAATTTACATCATTTGGATATGGTAGAGGTGAGCATATTGATGGTAAGGTATGATTTTGTTTTTCAATTGTTGATGGATCTAATGCTATATTTTCGTTTTTGAAACAACTTAAATCTTCTTTAATAATATCTTCTAGATATTTGATTAGATTTTCTCGGAAAATCTAAACGGTATTAATATTATAATTATTCATATTCTAATATAAATAACTTATATCAAAAAGAATATCAAAATTTTTATAAAATCAGTTTTCAAAAATATAGAAGAGCTCATGTTTTCAATTTTTAAAATAGAGATTCTGATGTGTAGTTAATAATTATTACATATAATTTCACAAACCTCATTTGTTATTGAAGTTCGTAATTCATGTGAATGTTTATTATCAGCAAGCCAAAGTAGCATATGAAGATGTAATGCACCTCGATCAGATTCTTCAACGGTACTATAATAAGTATCGATTTTACCTAATACATCACCATCTGGATGTGATTCATGTGTATTAATGTTATAAGCAACTAAAGTAGATAATACTGTTGAAATAAGTTTATTAAAAAACTGTGCAATAGCAACAGGATGACGAGCTACAATTGCAGCACGTTCGTGCGATTTTGGCATTTGATTTAGTAGTAAATCATCAATATTAAGATCTACACCAGCAAATTTCATCTCAAGTGGATGATGCAAATCACACGGATTAATAGTAATAAAAATATTTGGAAGACCTGAAAAGAATATTTGTGAATGGAGTTCAATACGATAATTTGATCTTGATTGATTCGATTCCATAACACTTCCAGAAACAGTTTTTAATTGTTTTATTAGAGTAGCTAAACGTGGATTTGATTGATTATTATACGAATTGGATTCTATTTGACTTAAAGCTATTTTAATTTCAGCTGATGTTAATTGATTGATTTCTATAGATTGCGAAGTAAAATATGGTCTTGATACAAGTATACGTGCTTTTGCACATGCTGTGCGTCGTTGTAAAATATTAAACGTTACAAACATAAATGAAGTGTTCATTTCAAAACGATAATCATGATAGGACAAAAAATATCGAATATGTTTTGCATAGGTAACACGCACTTGTCGACATTCATTTTCGACACCACCCATACCATAAGGAAATAAAATTGGATATAAACCTTCACAAAAAATTTAGACTATATAAATATATCTACATGTAGCGATAGTTAACATCTTCAAACCTGGTAAAAAATGCTGTATTAAAATATTCATTTACCGGATGTTTACCATGCGGTATAAAATATATATTATTATCACTAGTAACAACTTCATTTGTAGTATTGATCTGTCTTATTAAATGTCGTCTGATATCAACAGATGATATAGCACCACCATCTGTATCTATCAATGCACTTGTATTTAATGAAATTATTTCATTTTCAGGTAAATCATTTGACTCAATATAATTATTAACATAACCAGAACGTTCAACATTTTGACTTTCAGATTCATCAACTAATGATAGAGTATTCCATAAGCAATCAGGTATGTCATTTATTGGTAATGTATCAATTAACAAATGATCAATATGTATATATTTATATAAAATATTATTCTTACATAACCATATAAGCGCTTTTCGAATTATTTCTCGACGTACGGTAAGAATCGAACGTAGTTGATCTTTCTTTGGTAGTGATCTTCCCACAAAGATGATTTTAATAAATTGTGGCAATTCATCTGATGATAATGGAAGCGATCTTACAATCTCTGATACATTTTGAGGAAATATTATAACATTGCCTTTTAATGCTGTCTGTGCTAAAGAAGAATCACGTGTAATAGAAAATAATTTAATCACACAACTTGATTGACGATACTATAAAGTATAGAAATATAGTCTAGTATATATATATAAAGAACATTTACTAAAGCGATCAATTTTTGTTCTGATAACGTAAGTTCCTGTAGCTCTTGAGGTACATCACCAACCCACATTGAATTATTTAATGCACAAGGTGGCATTTTATTTGATACTAAATATTTATAACATTTGTTGCATATAATTCCGCATCCTGTTTCTAAATTAATGGCTTTTCGGCAAAGTAGCATTCTGTTAATAATTACGCTACTATCGTTCGCATGTATAAGAGAATTTCGAACTTGTTCTATTTGGTAGTATAATAAATGAATTCATTTTTCATCTATTCGATTTAATGTTAGAAAGCTAACTTGACATTTTAACACATTCGCTATTTGAATCAACATCAATATTTAATCGAATAACGCAAGAAGGCATTTCATCAACTGGATGTAATAAATGCTTATTCGGAATTTTTCCAATATTGATCTCTAGACTTTCTAATTTGTAGTGAAGGCATGCACATATCATGCATACAGTTCGATCTACTACATTGTTGGATAGAGCTTCTTTAAATCCACTAAGACATTGATGTTTTATCTTAGTTGTCGCTATTTTTGGCCGTATTTGTTCAGAAGGTGTTTGTATTTCCATTTTACGTTTACTATCGAATGATTTATATAAATTAAAATAGAAAATATTTTTATAATTCTTACGATTGATCATGTTTTTTTTTTATGTAATTTTAGAGATATTTTTTCATCTTCAGTTTCACTTTGGCATCGCTTAACCGATCTCATTGATTCGTACTCATTGTTGAGTTGTAAACGTTGTATATGTTCTTCACGAGTTTCTAATCGATCTTTTATTACTCTTGTATTCACCTTTAATTCAGCTTGTTTTTCTACTCTTATTAATCGACTACCTTCACTTTCTACTAAATTTCGATTACATCGTTGAATTGACATAGTAAATGCTTCGTGATTCGAGTTATTCTCAAATTTTACTTCTCGTTCAACCAAACTTCGAACTCGTCGAACGGTATTTTGATATTTTTTTTCATAATCTGATTGAACGTTAACCATTTTTTCATTTACCTATATATAAATACAATCGTTATTTTTGTATTTTTTATTTTAATAAACTGAAAAATCAATTCCTACTAGCAACTCTCGACTACACCAATCAGAAAGTCTATAAAACACTTCATAATACAATGTCGTTTTACGTTGTTCTTGTCTTTCTTCTAAGCTTTGAACCTTTCGTAATTTATTCTTTTGTCTTGATTGATTATCCAGTTTGCTTACAGTTTTTTCCCGAACTTGATTCATTTCTTTATTACCTGTTTCATTTTTGTTATTATCAGCATTATTTTCAAAAGAGCTGCAATGTTCTGTTATTGATGTTAGTCGACTACGCTTTTTTCTTTATGCAGTTTTTGCATCACTTTCTCTATTCAACCGTATTAACCGTGATGCTTCACTTTTCTTTGCATTTCGTTGAGCATGCCATGCTGCAACTCTATTACTACTTGTTTTTGTTATCAATTGAGGTGCTGAACAATCAGTTGCATCAATTACCTGCTTATTTTTCGTAATAAATATATTTTTCACATTTCCAGTATTTTTACCTGGAACGTATTATTTTGAATATCTAAAAAAAATTTGTTATTAATGAATTTTAAAATAGAAATCGATTCAATTCTGTCATTAGCTGACAGGATATTCTCCTCATAGGTTTCGACAAATTATTTACTTATGATGTACTAAAGGATGATGTGTAGAAATACCCATAAGTATTTCCACTACATATCAAAATTTTCAAAATTAATCTTACTCTCATACTAAAATATTTCTCAATATACACATTCATCGCCAATTATTTTCATTTCCGTTTTCAATGTAGTCTGAAATTATACATAAATACTAATTGAATCGACTCGATCACAATTTATAAAAAATCATCTTTCGCTGTCTTTCACATTGTTAGCTATAGTTTCTATGACTGGTAGTCAATAAAAAACTTATACGATTAAAATAAAGATTAGTAAAAGTTTTATAGTTGAATTGGTTATTGGTAGATAAGAACAGTTCCACTACTCTTCATTCTTATTATATTATATAATAATTAATATACATCATTTTAAAAATACAGCTATGCATAAAAGTGTGTCTATTTAGTTAAAATAACATGCTTTTCGCGAATCTGACACACATTTAACATATATTTATTTCAATCATTGTTGGTTAATAAACTAGAAGTAACATATAAATTGAAGCTTACATTTTTAAGCAACTGACATCCATCAGTACTATCTTTTTTTAAGTCGTATTTGTTGTTATACTATTTCTATTCATATGTTGAGATTAGTCTAATATTTATCATAGTCACTTTAAACAATTGACTCATTAAAATAATTAAAAACACTCAGACATTACATCAGTAGATATACAATGTACGATATATCGTACAGCCACTGACAATATTAAGAAGATCAAAGTATCCGCAAACATGTTGGTACTTCATATTCGCCGACATTTCAATAGCATCAAAACAATACCAATCATTTCAGAATATAAAACCGTCTGATATTTATTTTCAGATAATTCCTTTTCTGATTCGTTTATTATCTTTACATAATTTCATTCTGAATCTACATTATTTAACAGACTGAATTTTCATAAATGTATGCATTCACATAAACTAGTTCGTCAGCATGAAACCGTAATTCAAAATGTTTAATGCGACACTAGATATCTCTATAATTACACATTAAAATTGATTTTGGAACTGTATTATTTATATGCACTATAACAAGACAATTAAAGTGACAAATTTAATAAAAAATATTTTACAATAATATAACTCCTAAGATTTTAAAATTATCAAATTACAAATGCATACTTTTTCAAGCTTCTAATCCTTGACATTGCTTTTCTCAATTGTCGTACAAGACGTTTGGGCATATCGTTGTTCTTTTCATACGTGTATTAATAATATTTGTTGATGATGAAGAACGACATGCTACATAAAATAGATCAACATTTCCTTTGAAGTCTTAATAAGATTCTGTATACGAACATTCCGTTTTTTTGTTGTTAATATTATTTTCATCTTCCTCTATATCAAGAGTAAAATCGGCGTTACGTTATGATTTATATTTATTCAATAAAATAACAATATAGATATTATTACGAAATATTTCAAATATTTAACTTAGCGCCATTTTTGACACAAATAAATTAATATTATGTTATTTAAATGATACGATATTAGCTAATAAAATTATATTATCGAAAATATTCTGTACCCATTATTAAGAGTACAAAGCAAATTTGATGTATAGATAACTAATCGGTCTACTGTAAAATAAATATCTTTATAAAAATACTTATCAAACCTTAAAAAATTTTACTTGTTGCCTAGTTCAAATACTATTATCTATGTGTCATCTTTAAAGTATTTATTTACGCAGCATCAAAATAATCAGCAGTATCAGAGCGATATATTCATTTTTACCTTAGTTACCTGGTGATTGATGCCGTAATTACATTATCGTCTTTTTTTCTATAGTTACCTGGTCATTTGTGCCATAGTTACGTGGCCGTTTGTGCCAAAAAAATGGTCGTTTGTGCCATGTTACCGACAAAAACGATACGTGCAGTCAGAGAAATTTCCGTTTCTAGACCCTATCCTTACAGTCTAGGGAACAATAATTCACCATCTATTGAGTCTGCTAGAGCTACGAGATATTTCTTCCAATAAGAAAAGCATCTGTCTTCAAGGGACTTTTCATCGAGAGCAAATGCGACAAAGCTTTCATTCCAATTTAGACAATACAATACACGCCTAAGCGAAGTGTAATAAAAATGAGACAAATCTTGTTGTTGTTTTTCAGAAAGAAGAGTATAAATTGGATAGATCCAGGTAAAAATAGGTAATACAAAAGATAGAAAAAGAGTCTTACGAAGATATGGAGAAGAACAGCCAAAGATCTTAAAAGATTTAATCAAGGAAATTCTTTGCCTAATTTTAGTCATCATACATTTGAAAAATTTACCCCAACCTAACTTTGATGAAATTAGATAGCCAAGGTACTTATATTCTGGGACCCATTTAACTATTTCTTTTGTTCCATGACAAAAATGAATGACGAAATTAGGATGACCAATTGCTCGTGCACTAAACATAGCTTCAGTTTTATTGAAATTAATAGGTTGATCAGTTAAATAGGAATAATATTCAAGTTGATCAAGAAAAACTTTAACTCTTTTTCCTAAATCAAGACATTGAGACGAATAATTTATTTCTAACTGACCAGCCATAATTCCAGCTAAATCATCAGCAAAGAAGTGACTTATGCAACCAGATAGGGAACTACCCATATCACAATTATATGTGATGAATAAGGTTGGAGTAAAAACACTTCCTTGAGGGCCATCTTTTTCGATAGAGAACCAACGAGATTTACTGTCATTGATTTCTATGAAGCAACGTCTGTTATTTAACCATGATTCAATCCAATTGAGAAAAGATGAAGGGATACCCAAATTTCGTAATTTTCCAATGCAACCTAGAAACCACAGTTGATCAAAAGCAGCCCGAAAATCTACAAAAATAGTACAAACTGGAGCACTATTTGACATAAGACTATATACATCTTCAAGAAAGAGAAGTAAACGTGTTTGTAAACGAAAACGTTTTCTAAACCCTGATTGACTGTCAGGTAAAAGACCTCTTCTAAATAAAAGATCACGAAATCGAGTAAGAAAGAGTTTCTCACCTATTTTTTGAAATGAATCGAGAAGTGAAATAGGACGAGTTAAAGACGGTGGACAAATGGAATCTTTTTTTGCTAATAAGATCATTCGGGTATCTTTCCATGCGGAAGGTAAAACTGACTTTTGAAAAGAATAATTGTAAAGTTTTAATAATAGAGACCAGTAATTAAGATCAAGAAAAGTAAACATAAAATTCGAAATACCATGAGCATCTAGAGATTTTTTTTTCTTTTTAGCTAGAACTGTATTTATAAGCTCATCTAGTGTTACTTCAGGAATAACTTCATTATTGTTATCATATTCAATTGGAGGCGAATCAGTATAAGGATGAGGTCTAATAATATTTGATGCTTTAAAAAAATCTTCGTAATAATCAGCTGCTACATTACACATAAGATCACTTTCTTTGACAATTTGTCCTGATGAATCAATAAAAGCATGTAGAGAAGAGGATGACGGTTTGAGAAAACGTTTACTTCTATACCAAAATGAGTTAGATGACGAAGAAGGAGAATTACGAAGATGAAGAAGATTATCAAGTTGAGAAGAAAAAAAAAGATTAAGTTCCTTTTTAGCAATTTTTTTTAAGAAACATACCTCCTTTTTTATTATGCTACATTTCGTTCTTAATTGTTTAAAAGACAAAGCTCTAATATAGGATAAGAACGATCTTAGTTCAACAGGTAAAGCTGGACGATATTTGTCTAAATAAAAAAAGGTTGTACAACGAGCAGACAAGATATATAAAAAAACGAATGTAATCATTATATATAATGTCAATAGAAGAGAGAGAGATTCCAATTCTCTTCCCAAAAGGAGAATGTGTATTCAGAAAAAAGTGAAAATACTTTCCAATAAGTATTTTTTCCTAATTTTTGTTGTAAAACTTTCAAGGGAATAACAGAGAGTATTGGAAGATGATCACTGGTTGTATTTCCATTATATACTTGAATATCAAGATTTAGACCTCGAACAAATGCATAATCGATTACTCTATCAGATCTTAAAGACGTTGGAGAATTCGGTAGAGCTTGAGATAGGAATTGTTCAACAGCCCATTGAAGTAATATTTTAGCTTTCTTTCCATCCTGCATGATATCAACATTAAAATCACCATAAATAATACACTTCTTTGATAAGAAATGGGAGAGATCATCCCATGACCATGTTTTACTATCAGGTGCATATACACCAATTAATCTAAAATCTTCTTCACCTTTAATATCAACTACACAAACATTAGGTAACTTGCAGGGAACTCTACTTATCGAAATATCTTCTTTAATAAGCATTAAGACACCACCATTTCTGTTTTCACCTTTTTGATAAAAAAATCTGTAGTTATAGAAAATTTTTTGATGGAATGAAATGTCTATATCACCGGTTTCAAGAAGAATAAGAGCATCAAATTTAAATGACGAAATAAGCAGAAGAACTTCTTGCCATCTAAGATCAAGTCCACGAGCATTAAATAGAAGAACATGAAAAGAAAAAGAAGAAGGTGTATCACAGACAGAAGTAAAACTCTGCCATTGAGAAAAACAAGAATAGAGATTTGGACTACTTTCCCATTCCTCAAGGATTTTGCAGAAAAGATTGCAATCAAAATGAGAAAGAGAATCTTTAGCTTTACATAAAAAATGATTACGTTTAGAAAGTTTAGAAGGAGAAACACATGAGAAAAAAGGAAGAGCAAGAGGAGAAAGAGACATCAATTGGTAGAATATTTACCTTCTTTTGCTTTCTTCATTTGAATAAGATAACGTTCAAGTTTAAGTTTAAGATCAGGATCAAGTATATTTCCTTTTTTGTCCTGATTTTTTGATGCAATCAGACCAAATAAATCTTCGAACATTGGCACAATTAATTTCATGAATAAATTTTCATATCGTTCAATTAAAAGACTATGATGAACCAAATCTTTTTTAAATTCAACAGATTGATTGGACAATAAATTTAAATTTTCTTTAATTAGTAAATCACTTTCTTTTTTTTCAATCATGAATTGTTCAAAATTGTTATACTTTAATTCAAGATTTGAAAGATGATTATTTACTTCTGTGATTTTTCCCAATAAATCATCTAATTTAGTTAACATAGTATAATTAGGATTAGTTGGTACAAATTGAGGCATTGGCATTGGTGGAAAATCAGAACTTAAATATTTGAAGTTTGAGTTACTAATGTTGTTTAAGGTGTTGGTGGTGGAAGAAGTTGAACGATTATTAGGAGATAATAATTTACGTGTTAATTCAGATCTAAACGATTTTACTACTTGGCATTTAAGAGAGTTGGACTTATGATTTTGTCCACAGTGAATACATTTTTCGATTTTAGAGCAAGTATGTAGTTTTAAATCATCAGCACATTCACCACATGTTCGACAAGTACTCTTGACCTGGGTACATTGTTTCATGAAGTGGCCTAAACCCATGCATTTAGAACAAATTAAAATATTTGCAGGGGCTAAATATTCATCAATATCATAAACTATATAACCAACAGTTATTTTTCTTGTAATTAATAATTCTTCACGTACAGTAGAAGAAGTTAATTCAAGTTTGACTAATTTAATATCATTGTTAAATTTATTTTTTAATCTAATAACATTTTTAACTTGTGGATAATGTGTTTGAATTTCTTGACAAAATTCATTGAAATCCAAAGGAAGATCTACATTTTTGATTAACAATGATAACTGTGGTGGAATAGATGGAGAAGATGGAAATGTATAATTTTCATTACTAAAGGTACTAGGCCAGTGATTTTTATCTAACAGAAACGAAAACGAAGAAGCATCTTTTAAGAAAAGAAGAAAATCATATTCATTGTTGGAATTTCTATTAGATAAACGACAATTTAAGATATTGATTTCCATTTGATACTTTTTGTTACAATAATCAGTTAAACCTTCTTTAATTTGGTTCGGTGTAACTTTACCACCATTGAACTTGATGATAAAGGGGGGAAATGGGTAACGTGTTTGTGCATAACGAGTAGATTCATTAGTGATTGAAATCTGTTGTGAATGAGATGAAGGTAGAGCACCTTTAACTTGTGGATCATCTGAAACTTGTTGAGTATCTTGTAATTCTTGAGTATTTTGAACTTGTTGAATACCTTGTACATCTTGAATACCTTCCACTTGTTGAACTGCCTTATGAAGTAAAGGTTTAGCAGCAACAGCGGCTGGTGTAGAAGACACAGGTGAAGGTGCAACAGGATTTGAAATAATATTTGCTTGATAATGTGTACGTTTTTTCTTAATTGCAGATGTCGCCAGTTTGTGTATAATTTTCTTTTTCTTTTTATTTTCTACTTGTTGGAAACCATCAAGTGGAACATTGGGCGTGAGTCCATTTTTTATAGGTACAGTTGGTGAACCAATAATCATATTTGTTGAGACTGGAGCCGAAACCACTGAAGTTTCATTTAAACAATTTTGTACAATATTACTTGAAGAAGAAGTCATTTAGAATGATTCTAGTTCAATAATATTTATAAATAATAATAAATAATAATTTTTTTTCCTTGTACACACTCAATGAGTGCTTGAAAGAAAAGAAAAGAAAGAATGCGATGCGGCTTATCTATAGCTCGAATACATGAGGAATGACGATAATAATAAAATTTTTTGTCAATGCTCGATATGTCTAATCAAAATGTTATATAAAACTTTTTTAAAGATTGTTATCACAAAGATATGTGTTGTCTTTCAAGATGAGATACAAATTTCATTCGATAGTGTATGGAAACGAAAGAAAACAAGTACTACATAATCAAACGAAATCACCAAAGCAAAATATTACACAAGTCTTAAAAGATTGAAAAATTCAATTATGTCTAAACATTGTTTCGTTATTTCTGATAAGTGTATATTTTCTAGATTTAATCTTCGGGTAGCTCTTTCACGTTTGTCACGACTTTTGATAAAACATCTATTGAACTAAGAAAAACCAATTTATTCTAATTTGATCAAGTAAAATGTTCTGTAAGATATTATTGGATAAATAAATGTAACCAATAAAATCTTAATGACCCGTATAGAGGTTTGTTTTTCTTTTTATTCTATTTGACAAGTAACGCTCGTCTGAGGACTCGCTCAGCTCTTTCTCGTAGAAATGGTGCTTGTGAAGGACGTAGGGTTTATGTGACAATTGACTAATATTAGAAAGAATCATGAGTTATTGCCAGAGTCTCATTTGAGATGTCTTATTGCAATAAAGAACCTGAAAGAGGTATACATGAGTTACATTTATAAGCCTGTTATCGACCGCGCTGCAAAGTTGTTTATTTTCGAACTACCGGACTGAGTTTTGTCTTCTCGCAGAAAATTATTCGATGCATGGGAAAATAATTCTCAATAAGAGTATTGAAAGTTTTCATTGTTTATTAGTCACAATAACCTCAATTTCCCGATCTCTCTAAAGAACTTTAATTACATTGAAATTCTCCCATATCAAAATCTTAATAAAGTTTTCTTGAGATACATATGAAAGTTCGTATAGACCTCCTCTACAACAATCCTTGATGAGCTTCACAATGCAGTGACTACTCGTTTGTCGGCGCCCATATGAGGCGCCACTCATGGCTAGTCGCTGCCCCAACAACGTACACTAAGAGGAGAGTAAAAGTAACTGATTGGATTCAGTCTGTGTATTGAAAACAATACATGGAAGTCATTCCCTTTTTTGAACGACTAGCGATAAGACGTACTTATTGTATTACACATACTTATTTTTAAAAGACATCTGCGGCAAAAGGGCCGTTTAAGTCGATATGTCGACTTCAAGTTCCACCAAAATTAATGAAATTAATGACACTGAAAGCGAATTAGAATACTTCCAATATATTTTCAATCTCGGTTTACAAAAGTTGCACGAAAACAAAAGTATTCAAGTAAAAAATCAACAGTCGGCTCAATCGGTAGATCACAACCATCCAGATAATTGTCCAAATTTTACTTCGATGATTAGTTATCAAAATGCACATCCACCAAGACCAATCGCACATCATCAAATGATGTCTCCATCAAACAATACATCAAGTGCAACAATCCCTCCTCTGATGAAGAAAAGAATCTCGTACCCGTAATATTCTCCAGTTATATCAAATTCCGGTCTTCCACAACGAATCCAACAGCAAAATAAAAGTTCAATAACATCTTCTCCTGCATTAAGACGTCGTTTTAATGATAGTGGCGATAGTCAGCAACCTCAGCAACACAAAAAAACATCGGACAAATGCAGAATATGATCAGCCTCAAAACATGAATCTTGTCCTCGAAAAACAACAACAAGATATGATTGATAATCGATTTACAGTCGCATATTTAAAACGAGCTATTTCAAATAATTTACCATGTTTTTATATACAATTTGAAGAAGATTTAAATAGTGGACAATTACCATTAACAAGGAAAGTAGCTCATATATTAAACCAATTCTTTAGCAATAAATGGGAACCATCATTCAAAGGATTTACCATATGTTCGGTGGTTGGAAAAAATCGTATGAAAATTGGCACTAATAACAAAGTAGATTATTTCAATTTAATGAATTCCAACTGGTCTGATAAAATAGAGAATAGAGCTGTGAAGATAAATAAACCAAAGTTTATACCCGATTGTTTCGTCTTTGTAGTGCGAAACGTTCCCAGTAGTTTGTCCAAGGAACAAGTGGTCAATTGCATCTATCAAAGCATAAAGTTGGCGGTGTAATTTAATGAAATTAAATATTATAATAATGAAAATCGATCAACAAAAGATTATCGATTTGCTATTACAGATTTAAATGAATATTATGCAGCTTTGAATCTAGGTCGAGTAGCCATTTGCAATCAACTATTTCCTCTTACTCCATTTAGATCTGGTTATAAAATGACATATTGTTCAAAATGTTGGAAATTACGACATACTAGAGACTTTTGCAGTGAACAATCAAGATGTCGTATATGTTTGGCTCAATTTGAAAATGATGTTCAACATAATTGCTTAGGAACACCAAAATGTGCACAATGTAATGAAGCTCATTGGTCATTAGATAACAAATGTGCAGTTGTAAAACAATATCGTTATGATCTTAAAAAGGCAGTTAATGATGCAATTATAACTAGAAAAATTTCAAAAGATCCATCAAATGAAAATAAAAGACCTTTCATTAGTATGCAAGATGATTTTCCTGTTCTTAAACATGTATCACAAGAAATTAAATCAACAATATGAAGCCAAAAGAAATCAGAAAACTTTGAAATATTACATGAACTTCAAAAGATAAATGGTTCAATGTCTAGTCTACGGGACGAAATTGGATGTATGGGGAAAAAGTTAATTGAAGAAAATTGTGAACGTATAAACCAAGTAAAATCTATCCAACAACAACAACATAACTTAATAGTCATGGTTAACCACATTCAAGTCGTTATCAAATCAATAATAAAAAGTTTGCCGGAATTGAGTAATAAGGTGAAAAAGAAGATAGACAAACAAATAACATTAATGAATGATATTACGAAACAGTTAACATCAAATGAAATAAGAACGTCATCGATGGAAACAATGTCAACCCAAACAGATATATTAGGTGCAACAACATCAAACGATCCAGGCGGTGATAATGATAATGAGCAATTAAATATGTCAACAGATACTGACGCTAATGTTTAAAACAAATACTATAAACTTAAATGTAAATGCCCCCCCCCCCCCTATTTTTCCCGTCTAGTCATTCCTCAAAGACTTCTTACTCCTCCCCTCTTGTAGCAAGTACGAACTCCTTAGCATCAGCTGAACAGAGATTAAGACAGTGTGGTTTTAATGAAAAAGAATGCAAACAGTTAACAGTATACTTGAGTGAATGGTACTCATCGTCAACATTAGAAAAGGTTATGAAGGATTAGGAAGAGTATGGTGACAAAGAAAAGATTTACCAAAATACCAAACATGTTCCTCTCACATTCATCTCATACAACGTTCAAGGGTTAGCTACAAGAGGTTTAGAAGTGCTCGACTTAATCCATCAAGTTGATGCCGCATTCATCATTTGCACAGAAGTGGGTGAACAACATAACACCATTCAGATTCCGGATTTTAATATGTTTCATGTAGAAGGAACCAATAAAAATGGTGGTGTTTCAATAGGAATAGGAAAACATTTAAAGGGTAGTAAAGTTGAAACTAATTTACAAAACACCCTCGTGATGGATATCATTGGTTTAAGTGAACCATTACGTGTTATAGGTATTTACTGGCCTAATAGTCAGAAGAGGAATATACATGAGTTGTCACCTTATAACGGGTGTCCCAGGAATAATGAGCCTCTCAGTATTTTTAAGATTTCTTGTCTATTATCCCTGTAATTAAAGCTCTTTTTATTACCAAAAGATAGCGCTTGAAATTCTCTACCAAATCATATACGGCTTTGCTGAAAAATAGTATCAGATATATTTGAAAAAAGACAAAAACTAAAGACATGCAAGCATCTGTAAAATGCAAATAATAGATATCCCATANAATGAATCGAGAAGTGAAATAGGACGAGTTAAAGACGGTGGACAAATGGAATCTTTTTTTGCTAATAAGATCATTCGGGTATCTTTCCATGCGGAAGGTAAAACTGACTTTTGAAAAGAATGGTTGTAAAGTTTTAACAATAGAGACCAGTAATTAAGATCGAGAAAAGTAAACATATAATTCGAAATACCATGAGCATCCAGAGATTTTTTTTTCTCTTTAGCTAAAACTGTATTTATAAGTTCATCTAGTGTTACTTCAGGAATAACTTCATTATTATTATCATATTCAATTGGAGGCGAATCAGTATATGGATGAGGTCTAATAATATTTGATGCTTTAAAAAAATCTTCCTAATAATCAGCTGCTACATTACACATAAGATCACTTTCTTTGACAATTTGTCCTCATGAATCAATAAGAGCATGTAGAGAAGAGGATGGCGGTTTGAGAAAACGTTTACTTCTATACCAAAATGAGTTAGATGATGAAGAAGGAGAATTACGAAGACGAAGAAGATTATCAAGTTGAGAAGAAAAAAAAAGATTAAGTTCCTTTTTAGCAATTTTTTTTAAGAAACATACCTCCTTTTTTATTATGTTACATTTCGTTCTTATTTGTCTAAAAGACAAAGCTCTAATATAGGATAAGAACGATCTTAGTTCAACAGGTAAAGCTGAACGATATTTGTCTAAATAAAAAAAGGTTGTACAACGAGCAGACAAGAGATATAAAAAACGGATGTAATCGTTATATGTAATGTCAATAGAAGAGAGATTCCAATTCTCTTCCCAAAAGGAAAATGTATATTCAGAAAAAAGTGAAAATACTTTCCAATGGGTATTTTTTCCTAATTTTTGTTGTAAAACTTTCAAGGGAATAACAGAGAGTATTGGAAGATGATCACTAGTTGTATTTCCATTATATACTTGAATATCAAGATTTAGACCTCGAACAAATGCATAATCGATTACTCTATCACATCGTAAAGACGTTGGAGAACTCGGTAGAGCTTGAGCTAGAAATTGTTCATCAGCCCATTGAAGTAATATTTCAGCTTTCTTTCCATCTCTGCATGATATCAACATTAAAATCACCATAAATAATACATTTTTTGGATAAGAAATGGGAGAGATCATCCCATGACCATGTCTTACTATCAGATGCATATACGCCAATTAGTCTAAAATCTTCTTCACCTTTAATATCGACTACACAAACATTAGGTAACTTGCAGGGAACTCTACTTATCGAAATACCTTCTTTAATAAGCATTAAGACACCACCATTTCTGTTTTCATCTTTTTGATAAAAAAATCTATAGTTATAGAAAATTTTTTGATGGAATGAAATGTCTATATCACCAGTTTCAAGAAGAATAAGAGCATCAAATTTAAATGACGAAATAAGAAGAAGAACTTCTTGCCATCTAAAATCAAGTCCACGAACATTAAATAGAAGAACATGAAAAGAAAAAGAAGAATGTTTGTCACAGACAGAAGTAAAACTCTGCCATTGAGAAAAACAAGAATAGAGATTTGGGCTACTTTCCCATTCGTCAAGGATTTTGCAAAAAAGATTGAAATCAAAATGAGAAAGAGAATCTTTAGCTTTACATAGAAAATGATGACGTTTAGAAAGTTTAGAAGGAGAAACACATGAGAAAAAAGGAAGAACAAGAGGAGAAAGAGACATCAGCTGGTAGAATATTTACCTTCTTTTGCTTTCTTCATTTGGATAAGATAACGTTCAAGTTTAAGTTTAAGATCAACATCAAGTATATTTCCTTTTTTGTCCTGATTTTGTGATGCAATCAGACCAAATAAATCTTCGAACATTGGAACAATTAATTTCATGAATAAATTTTCATGTCGTTCAATAAAAAGACTATGATGAACCAAATCCTTTTTAAACTCAACAGATTGTTTGGACAATACATTTAAATTTTCTTTAACTAGTAAATCACTTTCTTTTTCTCAATCATGAATTGCTCAAAGTTATTATACTTTAATTCAAGATTTGAAAGATGATTATTTACTTCTGTGATTTTTCCCAGTAAATCATCTAATTTAATTAACATAGTATTATTAAGATTAGTTGGTACAAATTGAGGCATAGGCATTGGTGGAAAATCAGAAGTTAAATATTTGAAGTTTGAATTACTCATGTTATTTAAGGTGTTGGTGGTGGAAGAGAATGTATGGAAAAAGGCAGAAAGGAAAAATGTCGAAAGGGAAAAATATCGAAAATAAAAATGTCGAAAACAAGAATATGAGATGAAAATGAGCATGAAACATTGAATTGAGGTTGAGGGAGACTTGTACTTCAATATACTATCATTTTCAGCATTGCTATCCGTCTACATTTGTATTATTTTTGTTTTCGATATTTTTATTTTCGACATTTTTCCCTTTCGATATTTTTCCTTTCTGCCTTTTTCCATCATACCGTGGAAGAAGTTGAACGATTATTGGGAGATAATAATTTACGTGTTGATTCAGATCTAAACGATTTTACTACTTTGCATTTAAGAGAGTTTGACTTATGATTTTGTTCACAGTGAATACATTTTTCGATTTTAGAGCAAATATGTAATTTTATATCATCAGCACATTCACCACATGTTCGACAAGTACTCTTGACCTGGGTACATTGTTTCATGAAGTGACCTAAACCCATGCATTTAGAACAAATTAAAATATTTGCAGGGGCTAAATATTCATCAATATCATAGACTATATAACCAACAGTTATTTTTCTTTTAATTAATAATTCTTCACGTACAGTAGAAGAAGCTAATTCAAGTTTGACTAATTTAATATCATTGTTAAATTTATTTTTTAATCTAATAACATTTTTAGCTTGTGGATAACGTGTTTGAATTTCTTGACAAAATTCATTGAAATCCAAGCGAAGATCTACATTTTTGACTAACAATGATAACTGTGGTGGAATAGAAGGAGAAGATGGAAATGTATAATTTTCATTACTAAAGGTAATAGGCCAGTGATTTTTATCTAATAGAAAAGAAAACAAAGAAGCATCTTTTAAGAAAAGAAGAAAATCATATTCATTGTTGGAACTTCTATTAGATAAACGACAATTTAAGATATTGATTTCCATTTGATATTTTTGGTTACAATAAGCAGCTAAACTTTCTTTAATTTGGTTCGATGTAACTTTACCAGCATTGAATCTGATGATAATGGGGGGGGGGGGGGGGGGGGGGGTCCGGGGGTGTGTGTGTGTGGCGTGGTAGGTGCGGTGGGGATGTTTAACGTGTTTGTGCATAACGAGTAGATTCAGTAGTGATTGAAATCTGTTGTGGATGAGATGAAGATAGAGCACCTTGAACTTGTGAATCACCTGAGACTTGTTGAGTATCTTCTAATTCTTGAATATTTTGAACTTGTTGAATACCTTGTACATGATAAATACCTTCCACTTGTTGAACTACCTTATGAAGTAAAGGTTTAGCAGCAAGAGCGGCCGGTGTAGAAGGCACAGGTGAAGGTGCAACAGAATTTGAAATAATATTTGTTTGATAATGTGTACGTTTTTTCTTAATTGCAGATGTCTCACGTTTGCGTTTGATTTTATTTTTATTTTTATTTTCTACTTGTTGGCAGGGCTGCCAAATCTCCTGATTTAGCCAGGAGTCTCCTGGTTTTTAGATCTTTCTCCTGGTGAAAAAATCTCCTGGTACCAGGAGCTGGTTTTTAACATATTCTCCTGGTTACTTCTGGTTTTCACATTGTGAACTTTGAATTTTAGTGAAATTTTGAATCAAAAAGACAAACATAAAAAAACAAAAAAAAAAGGAATAATGATCGCAGTATTAGATGAACTCAGCCACCAATCAGATAAAATGTTGTTTCTGCTAGATATTTTTGAAAATAAGGTAACCAATTTCGTAAGCAAATTTTGCAGCAAGAATTTCTGTACTTTTAGCTAAGAAGAAAGAATCATTGTGTTTTTTTTTTGGATGTTTTGGTGATCAAAATGTAAGATCAGTTTGGTGTCAAGTTCATTAGAGGCTAACCTTTTTCCACTTTCGTGCCTATTTCGAAGTAAACTTTTTTTCTATTTTGTTTGTATAGTTCAATCATTGACTGCGAAGTAAATAGTAATGTAAAGTACATGTAATAATTTTTCTTTTTTTCTTATAAACCACTTACAATGGGGATATTTGTGTTGTAAGTTAATAAGATTAGACATATTCGAGTCAAATTAAAGATCTCATTGCCAAAGTTATAAATCCAAAATATGAACTACTGTTGGCGTGCTCGGACAGAGATACTTGAATTTTGAGATATTTACAGTCTATGTAAGGTACTCATAATTGAAAATTTCAGTACAATTTATTACTGTTTTACCTAATGTTTGGATAGAGCTTGTCGAGTTTCATTAAAAACGATGTGTTTGAAAAAAAAATGTTTACGAAACTTGACAAACTCTATCCAACCATCAGAAAAAAATAATAAATTTTACTGTAATTGTGAATTATGAGCAGCTTACCTGCACTGCAAAATATCTTAAAAATCGGGTGTCTTCATCCGGATACGCCAACAGCAGTTCATACTTTGAATTTATTAGTTTGGAGACGACATCTGTAATTTGACAACATATGTCTGAGCTTCTTAGCTTACAACACAAAAACCTCCCTTGTTAGAGAAAGATTTTGCTATCAGTCATTTGGCAACAAAGAGTTAATAAGCGCTTTATGAACGAATGTTTCAGTTTACTATAAGAAAGACCGTGAAACAGCTTTTTCATCTCAACAAAAATCTCCTGGTTTTTCTACTAGTTTTCGGTGAAAAACCTCCTGGTGAACTCCTGGCTTTTTGCAAGAAACTCCTGGTTTTTGAAATTTCAATTTGGCAGCCCTGCTTGTTGGAAACCATCAAGTGAAACATTGGACGAAAGTCCATTTTGTATAGGTACAGTTGGTGAATCAATAATCATATTTGTTGAGACTGGAGCCGAAACCACCGATGGTTGTATTAAGTTTCGTCCCATTTTCGTATTTTTTCATTGTTTATGACTACTTAAGATTTAAAACACCATTTTCTTGAACCTGAGAAACTTTAAAAAACAGTTTTTTACATTTAGAAAACCTTCTTTCGTATATCAATGCGACTGGCTAGTTGAGAGAAAAATTTAAAAAACAATAGTTTGCATTTTTCAAAGTATTTACTTATCAAATACCATGCAGTCTTTCACATTCTAGCAAAAGAAAACAATAAATGTGCATATTTAATGAGGTGACATAATATTGATATCATCTTCAAACGTGCCTCACACTTTGATATCATGTATCATTCAATAATATGCATGAATAATTTTATTATTTTTTAAAATATTATAACGATAGAAAGCATTCTTTGTTTATTTGACAGCGTAGTGCTATTTCCCATTTTTCAGAAAAATGCCTCGTTCATCTAATCTTTCCTGCCCTCTATCGAGAACAGAATTCTCTATTGGTTTTATCTTTCCTTAGTTAGAGGCATTAAATAAATAAGCAAAACAGACAACAATAAATGAATCTGCCTTGTCACGTCATGTTCGTCTTCGTCATTGTAATAGATTAAAGATCTCTTTTTTTAGATCATCATGCTTTCCTTATTACTTATTATCATTCCATTATTAAGTCAATATCAAGTATTTTCCTCACCCGTTCTTCTTTGGAGCAATTCGTAAGCTTTTTTAAAATTTATATACACTTCAATGTATGATCTTTTATTTCAAATAGAGATCTTCCTCGATCGACTGTACCTCTTTCAACATATGCTTCTCTTGATGTCATTTCAAACTATATTTGTAAAATTAACAGTAAAAAAATCCAAATTAATTTACTTTTTGTTGAACAAGTACGTTACAAAAGACTAGATAAGAAGATAACCAGAAGATAAAATATTTATTTTCTAGCTGACTAATGAAGATATTCAGAGAGGCTTACAAAGCAAACATCCAATTTTACTTGATGCCAAAGTAAAATGATAACTAGCTTTTTTCTTGTTATTAAATTTTTTTCTTCAAGAACGAGAAAAGTCAATTTCGTTATTTTCCTAATGTGGCTAAGGATATCTATGAAACATTGTCATTAATTCCTCGATCAAATAATATGCATTGTTCACACATTCATTTTCAAATCACATCATCAAAAATATATGAAAAATTACATGATGGTTAGTCGAGATTTCATAAGAAAGAGAATATTTTCCTTTCAATCATTTTAGCTTTAAACGCAATGCAAGCGTCAGTTGATAGTGGAAAAAATTCAAATCAAGTTGTCGTCACGGCATTAATTGGTGATTCAGTTGATCAAAGTTTGGTAAGAATGAGGCAGGATATAACAAAAATGTCGAAGAATACTTCTCATAAGTTAGAACATTGAATTTCTACTTTGTTTTTTTAAAACAAGGTCATAGCTATTTATTTGAAAAGTAAGTATGTCCATTGGTTTTAAGTTGGGTGGTTCATCGATAAACAAATCCGTTCCATAGAAAACTTATAATTCTGTTATTTAGATATTATGTTTGTTTTATCTATCTATTTTTTCTTCTTCAAAACGATTTTTTCTTAATTATTCAGGTTTCAGTATGTTTGGTTACCTACAAATTTGTTCAGATATTCTCTTTCATGTTCCATAGAACATCTTCAATTGTTTTTTCTTTGTAGTTATTAATTAGATCTCTCAATGTGCCCAACGTATTCAGTACATTTTAAAAACCAAATCTTGAAAAAGAAACGAAATATAACATTGGGAAAAGTAAAAAAAATCTTTCTCGTCTTGGGAATCTTATGAAAAAATGAATCCAACTGTCGGACGCCGTTCGACTTCACATGTGACTATGAGTAGTCCCCTCTGAGACTAAGTTCCGAAACAAAGAGTTTTGACCTGAAGTTTCGTGTATAGATAGATTTAATAGTCATTTGGTAGTTCTAAAAATTTCGACGAGAATGAACATTTTCTTCTTTAGATATTCGGTTTCCAAGTAGACTGAATTATTGTATTGTCGTAAATGTAAATGGCTGTTAGCTTTCGTTGAAATTTTTAGGATCATCTTATGACTACTAAATGTATATGCAGACATAATTTCAAGGTCACAATACTTTGTTTTCCTTTTCTTGGTTCTTCTTTTTTGGTAGTATCTTGTTCTCAGTGAAAATTCCAATCAAACTTCCATAACTCTTCATCAATAGACTATAGGCATGAATTCTCCTAGACTCTTTCTAGTCTCACTGGAACCTATCCATAGCCATAATATATAGTTGAACAGCGTCCAACAGTAAAATATGTTTTGTTGTTAGGCAAAGATACGTACGCATTTGTTAAATGTATGGCACGTTCTACTATATTGATTAAGATATATCTTCGAAAAGCATTGAGGAGGATAAATGATCTTTTATCTTCAAGACTTTGGTCATTTTAATAAATAAAAATCAACACTTATCGCTTATTAGAAATTACTTCATATTTTCTTACATGATCACACTCACAAAGACAACCAAAAACAAGAAAAAGTTTTTTTTATTTAATTAGAGTCGCCGACGTCGAGATGTTGGCGTTAATGATGACAATCTTATAATATCTGAAAATAGAACATGTATGTTTTATGCCGATAAATTATTTTGGGAACAGGCTAATGAACAAGACTCTTCAGCTGGGAATTTTACACTTGATCTAGATAGAAGTTCATGTACACCATATGAAGTAGAATCATCAAATGGAAATATAACTTCAGTCACGTACGCTTTTTAAGAAAAAAAAAGACACTTGAAAACATTTATTTTTTTATCTTTATATTTAGTCTTGATTTATATTGGAATAATGGAATAAATGATACTGTTTCAATGACGTATTTTATTATTTAAATTCAAGTTTTTATTTATAAAATAAATTTTTTTTCGTTTTAGTTTAATTGCAAATGTAACTGACCGTTATTGGTATTTAGACAAAGCAATACTAAATGATTCTGAATATCGGTATTTTGCTTATGGTATGCACAGTGAAATGGAAACACCATTAACTTATTCATATGTATGCAAAACTGCAGTATTTGTTAAATATAATTCTGCAATAAAATATGGTTTATACGATTTTAAAAATAAATTCTTTATCACAAATATACAAGTAAATGAAATGCTAAATAAATGTTGAATTTTAATTCTATGTTTCGTTTTTCGTTTTGAAGTTTCAACCATTTAATGCAAATGGAGCATATTTTGGTTTACCAAATTATTGTACATCATTTTTTACGAGTGGCATATGGATGGGTTTAACATCAAGTTTACTTTGTTTAGGCATATTATTATTTGGTATTCATCGTATGATGAGTATTAAATCGAATGATCGATTTGATGATCCAAAAGGAAAACCGTTAATTATCAAAGCACAAGAATAAAATTTTCTTTTCGCTTTTCTTTTATTCGACTTATTGTGCAATAGAGATTTTATTGATATTTATTCAAATATATAATTAATTATTTATTTTTCTTTTCCGTTGTGTTACTGTGATGTCGCACGTTGAAATTATCATTCTTCTTTATCATCCTCTACCTTCTTTCACCTTCTTTTCATCTCTATTGGTATCTTCTTTTCTTTCGTTCTTCATATACATATTATGTATGTTTTCGTGTGTGTTCCATTCCTTACACATAATAAAGATCGTGCATATACATCAACACATGTAGCATCTAATATATATGAGGTGCCCAATCTGATCGGAAGTCCCAATCCCTTTTTTATCGTCGTGCTTCTATAATATATTAAAAAACTATGATTTTTTTACCACTTATAGTATTCGTATAATACTGATGATTGGTCAAGTATAAGGGGTCTATACCTGGTTTGAAATCAAAATAATCAAAGTCTTCAAAAGCATCTTTTGCTATTAAAGAACAAATTTTTTGAAGACTTTGCTAATTTTGATTTCAAACAAGGTATAGGCCCCTTAGACTTGATCAATCATCAGTATTATACGAATACTATAAGTGGTAAAAAAATCAGAGTTTTTTTTATATATTATAGAAGTAGAACGATAAAGAAAGGGATTGAGACTTCCGGTCAGACTGAGCACCCCCATATATATAATAAATAAACAACATGAAACGAAAGAGCGAAACTCTAACATTTGGCGACCCTGCAAAACAATATCAATAAAAAATAAACAAAAATTAGATTGTTATTCGATTAAATTACTTTACAACTCATATTAGTCAGAGCCTCTCTTGATTTGAGACTCGAATATATGCATATCGCATCAAAGACTCTCACAAAGAGACTTGAAATCAATTAAAAACAGAGCCATTTAAACAAAAAAAGAAGACTCAATAAATTTTATATCATATTATTGATTTAATATTTAAGCATTCTATTTCATTAATAGGAATACTTTCGAGTAAACCGTTTCTTTTGGATTTTCCAATTAAAAACTGATATTGCATAAAAAAAGAAAATTCGGCAATTAAATTTTAAATAAAAAAGGAGGAGACATCAACATAAAATAAATCGCATACTCTTCATTGTTTGAAACAATTCTAAACAAAGATTCTGATAAGAATTTTGGACGTATATTCATTTGTATTATTCATCTAGTTAGTCATTTACCGTGATACTCATTAGTATAATTATAATGTATTCAAAAATGGCTACTGAAACAAGATTTCAAGTTAAGAAAAATAATAAGAAATTATTCCCATATACAATTATTACTAATTCATCATCGCGTATATTATCACAAGTTAATCCCTTTATAAATTCAAGATTAAATTTAAATACAAACACAATGGCTGATTCAAGATTATTATCAAAAGCTCGATTCGATGATTTATCAAATTTTTCCAGACATCCTTCTGAGGATGTCGAACGATTTTTGAAAAGCATTGAAAATATTACCAAAGTTAATGGTAAATCAGAAAACCACGAGATTCTTGAAATCGTGCGTGGTAAATTAACTCAATCAGCAGGATTATGGTTCGATAATAATGAACATAATTTAAAAAAATGATCAGATTTCGAAATAGTTATTTTTCAACAACAATGTGTAATGATCAACATCTATAACTTATATCCGTTTACAAAAAAAAATCGTTCCTCAGCATATCATATGAACATGTGATTTTTTTCTTCACTAACTTATCTAAACTTGTTTTCTTTTCTGTCGAGTGGTATTTTCTAATTATATTTTGATTTTATATTGTTATTTGTGTTCAGATATTGAACTTGAACTTGATCGTGATTTTTGTTGTTTTCTTTCGTTTTCCCTCGTTGTTATATATCTCGTTCATAGATCGAAACCGAGTCGAGTCGAGTCGAGTCGAGTCGAGTCGAGTCAAACTTCCAAGACTCGACTCTTCAAATACCTCACATAATGTGTCTCTCAGGTGACACTTGCAAGAGCGACATAATGCTTTCATTCACATGTACACTTGAAAATGAAAAGAATAGCAATTTTTATTATTCTCTTCGTCTACTGTCGACTTTCGGCCAACTTGTGGTCTGAAATGGTGTTTGCTTGAATCAAATCAAAAGCTCCCTCGATGNTCTACTTATCGAAATTCCTTCTTTAATAAGCATTAAGACACCACCATTTCTGTTTTCACCTTTTTGATAAAAAAATCTGTAGTTATGGAAAATTTTTTGATGGAATAAAATGTCTATAACACCGGTTTCAAGAAGAATAAGAGCATCAAATTTAAATGACGAAATAAGAGGAAGAACTTCTTGCAATCTAAGATCAAGTCCTCGAACATTAAATAGAAGAACATGAAAAGAAAAAGAAGAAGGTTTATCACAGACAGAAGTAAAACTCTGCCATTGAGAAAAACAAGAATAGAGATTTGAACTACTTTCCTATTCCTCAAGGATTTTGCAAAAATGATTGAAATCAAAATGAGAAAGAAAATCTTTAGCTTTACATAAAAAATAATTACGTTTAGAAAGTTTAGAAGGAGAAACAGATGAGAAAAAAGGAAGAGCGAGAGGAGAAAGAGAGATCAGTTGGTACAATATTTACCTTCTTTTGCTTTCTTCATTTGGATAAGATAACGTTCAAGTTTAAGTTTAAGATCAGGATCAAGTATATTTCCTTTTTTGTCCTGATTTTGTGATGCAATCAGACCAAATAAATCTTCGAACATTGGAACAATTAATTTCATGAATAAATTTTCATGTCGTTCAATTAAAAGACTATGATGAACCAGATCTTTTTTAAATTCAACAGATTGTTTGGACAATAAATTTATATTTTCTTTAATTAGTAAATCACTTTCTTTTTTTTCAATCATGAATTGCTCAAAGTTGTTATACTTTAGTTCAAGATTTGAAAGATGATTATTTACTTCTGTGATTTTTCCCAGTAAATCATGTAATTTAGTTAACATAGTATTATTAGGATTAGTTGGTACAAATTTAGGCATAGGCATTGGTGGAAAATCAGAACTTGAATATTTGAAGTTTGAGTTACTCATGTTGTTTAAGGTGTTGGTGGTGGAAGAAATTGAACGATTATTAGGAGATAATAATTTACGTGTTAATTCAGATCTAAACGATTTTACTACTTGGCATTTAAGAGAGTTGGACTTATGATTTTGTCCACAGTGAATAGTTTTTTCGATTTTAGAGCAAATATGTAGTTTTAAATCATCAGTACATTCACAACATGTTCGACAAGTACTCTTGACCTGGGTACATTGTTTCATGAAGTGACCTAAACCCATGCATTTAGAACAAATTAAAATATTTGCAGGGGCTAAATATTCATCAATATCATAGACTATATAACCAACAGTTATTTTTCTTTTAATTAATAATTCTTCACGTACAGTAGAAGAAGTTAATTCAAGTTTGACTAATTTAATATNTTAAGAGAGCACCCATGAGATGATCGAGCACCATGCCAGATATCGAAGCACTCGTCAAAAAAAATTTTTCTTATTTGATATTCTCATTTTGTTCAGCATCATCGAAAACCTCTAAATCCAAATTTTTAGCGCATTTTGTTAAGCTGGTGAAAAGTTAGCTCAATTTTACTGTCGAACGCTCACGATGATATTTGAAAAATATCATCAAAAATCGTTCGTATAAAGTGGAGATTTTTTCGATGACATCAAATTAACGAAATTTTTCGTGTAATATACCAAAAGATAGAGCATCGAAAGCTGAACAAAATTACCGATTTACATATTATTTTTCCATGGATTAATCCATAGTTATCTATGAAATACTGTCCATGACCCATCATTTTTCGAGTGAAAAATAAGTGGATTTTTTGCAATGTATTAGCTGCCATTTAGTCATTTTATGAGATCCCAGACTGAATTTCACATATGTTGTACAACTTTTTCTCCTCTACAAAATGGTAAAAAAAAGTTTAAAAAAAAAACGTCTAATGGTGTCGAAAAATGCCTTACAATGTTGACCAACTAGGCAGCATTTATGAGGAAAAATTATTATAAATATATTTTTTTAATGAAAAATAGAACTTTTAGTAGATTATAAACTATCTACAATACTTTTCATATAAGTACGATATAGTTCAATGAACATGTGCTCTGCACAAAGTAATGAATCAACAGGTATTGTAAGATAAGAAAGTAAGATCGGTCAGCTAATCTTAGATAGGCATCACGTCATACAAAGAGAGATAGAAATACTTTACAACTCCTTTGGTGTCTATTCGAACTTCATTTGCAGTTCTAGAATTATTTAAATAGTTGCATACTTACGTCATAAGAGGCAGGACTGTTGGCCACGGTCAAGAAAAATCTTTTCCGTGTTTCTCCTCTTCGGCACGTAGAGCCCATCCTGCTTGAAGAGGAGGGACATTACTCGGAAAACCCGTGTCCCCATATTGTTTATGAGTGTTACTCGGAAAACCCGCACTCATGCAAACAATATTATTCTTTATCAAAGGGTATTACTCGGAAAAACCGTGCCCTCGTATTGTTTGTGAGTGTTACTCGGAAAAACCGCACCCATGCAAACAATATTATTCTTTATCAATAAAGAGAAAAAAAGATATTAGATATATGCTTGGACGACAAATATCTTCTTTCCTGTCCAAATTTTCTTCCTTACATATATATACATATCCGTAGTTATATACACATGACTACACAATTCAGTTCAATACCAAAAAGAGAGAGATAGATGTGTTTAACACTCTTATTTCAAAATTGTCGAATATTATACATGCTAATAAAGCAACCTAAGAACTGATCATTGTGACGTTGTACTAATGAAAGACAACAACTACTGTTTTATTACTTAACATACAGCTCATATCCACTGAAGTATGTCGTACTTATATGAAAAGTACTGTATATAGTTTACAATTCAACTAAAAGTTCTATTTTTCATCAAAAAAAATTTAAAATTTTTTTTTTTCGCATAAACCATGTCTGGTTGACTAACATTGTAAAGCATTTTTGGACACCATTAGACGTTTTTTTTTAAACTTTCTTTTTACCATTTTGTAGAGGAGAAAAAGTTGTACAACATATGTGAAATTCATTCTGGGATCTCATAAAATGGCTGAATGGCAGTCGATATACTGAAAAAAATCCACCCATTCTTCACTCGAAAAATGACGAGTCATGAATAGTATTTCCTAAATAACTATCGATCTGTCCATGGAAATATAATATGTAAATAGGTAGTTTTGTTCAGCTTTCAATGCTCTATCTTTTGGTATATTACATGAAAAATTTTATTAATTTTATGTTATCGAAAAAATCTCAACTTTATATGGATGATTTTTGACAATATTTTTCAAATGATCCTGTGAGTGCTCGACAGTAAAATTGAGCTCACTTTTCACCAACTCATCCAAATGCGCTAAAAATTTGGATTTAGAGGTTTTCGATGATGCTGAACAAGATGAGAACATCAAATCAAAAATCTAAATTTTGACGAGTGCTTCGATTTCTCGATGGCCTCATGGGTGCTCTCTTAA